CAGGTTTTTCTGTGGGACACCCGAAGGGAGGGTCTAGCTGTGACCTGACCCTGACCTGGTATTGGCCACCTGGCCTGCTCCACCAGCCCCTGCCTCCCATCCCTGTGGCCGTCAGCCTCGAGGTGGGACACCTTGCCCCCACCAGGTGCCCACTGGTGTCCCAAGCACAGTGGGCTGGGCAGGGGCGCCAGCCTCTAGGCTCCCTCCAGCGGAGCCCCTCGCGGAGGCCTCTGCCCTGCCCCACCCGGGGCTGCTCCCCACCACGGTGCCAAAGAGGACCTGGCTCTGCCTCAGGCTGAGGAGCAGGTGATAAGCACCCCCATCAAGTTCCTGCCTGAACCCCAGCCAGGCGGCCCCCAGACCCATTCGGGCAGCCGTGGCCATCTTACTGGGCAGCATTGGATGCTGTCTGATCTCTAATACTGCCTGGTAATGATGACGGCGGAGCCCTGCACGCAGCGAGGGGGCCGCCCCCCCCACCGTTGTCCCCTGGGGCCTTTTCTCCCAGCTTGCCCACCCTGTCCTACTTGGGTGGCTTCTGAGTGGGCAGAAATCTGACCTTGGGGAGGTGGTGCCTCTGAGAGCCCTTCAGGCCTCAGGATGAAGGCTGCCAGCAGCTGCATGGGGGGGCACCCCAGCACCCCCCACAGTGTTCTGCGGATTAGGACGCTCAGGTATCCGGGCCCTGCCCATGGCGCCCGGGCAGGTGCTGCCACCACACCTGGCAGGTGTGGACTGGGCGGAACAAAGGGCTCTGGAGAGCAAAGGCCCAGCCTGGGCCCAGAAAGCCTCCGGCCAGGAGCTGCCACCCAGAACTGGGAGCTGTGTACTGACCCAGGAAGGGCCACTGGGTCCAGACCCCTCTCCCTTCCTGTGTCCAGGGTGGGCAGGTCAGCTTGCAGCCGCCAGCCTTGGCCCCAGGCCAGCAGCCCCGGGTCTCCTTGCTCTGGACAGACAGTGTGGTCTCAGGATCTCAGGAACTCTCTCTTGCTGGCCTGGTCCAGCCCAGATGCAGCCCTGGCTGCTCACTGTGCTGGAACCTGGCCGGGCCTCCACCACCACCACTCCACCCGGCCTGTAGGAGCTGCAGGGCTTTGGGCCGAGGTGCACCTGGGCCTCTGTGGGCATCTTACCAGACAGTGCTGGATTTCTTGGCTCAACTCTAACACTGTCTGGTAACGATGTTCAAAGGTGACCCACCACTCGCCGGAGACGGCCCGAGGATGCGCCATCCTGAGCTCCTGGCCTCCAGAGAGGCGCCAGGCCAAGGGCTGAGCTGAAGGCTCTGCAGCTGGCAATCATCGGGAGCTGGCCTCTGCCCAGGATGGGCCCTCTTCATGCCAGGGGCTCCCCGTGCCACTACGGGGCACAGGGCAGGCTCTGTAGCACTGCCCCCACTCTTCCCCTGGGCTGGACTTTGGAGTGATCTGGGTCCTGGAAAGGCCACAGGGGTCCAGACACTGGGCTGGGTGGGGAGACCTTGTGGGCAATGGGCTGTTACCCACGTGGGCCCACTGGGGCCTGGGGAGGCAGAGTGGGCTCCATGGGCCTAACCCCACCCAGAGGTCCCTGCAGACATGTCCTGGCTAAGGACAAGGAGTCTCCGTTCCTCCCCCGGGCAAGAATAGGAACTTTGTCCAAAATCACAAGCCAGAATCACCCATTGTTTTATCTTTTTGATCTGAAGCCAGGACTGGGGACTCGGGAACCCACCCAGCCTGAGCCCTGGTGGCCTCTCCCTAGGGAGGGGCCGAGGGTCTGCCCTGTGTTCTCCGGTTACTTATTAACCACCTGGGAGCCACTCTGGAAACTGGCAAGGTGCTGGGGGAGTGCAAGGCCAAGATCAAGGGCAGGTGGCTGGGTCGCTCCCCAGCTGTGCCTGCAAACACCCCACCTGGGGCTGGGCACTGTGGGGGCACCCCCAAAGTCCTCAGAGCAGTCCTGGGGGGCTCCAGGCCTTCCCAGGGCCAGCCCTCAGGGCTCTGCAGATGTGGGAGGGCCAGGGGCCAGCGTGGGAGGGCCAGGGGCCGCCCCACCTCCCCTCGTAGGACCCTCGCCAGGACCAGGAGCAGCCCTGCCAGGCCTCTGATGGGCGTCTTACCAGACACGGTTAGATCTCGATGCCTCTGTCTAATACTGTCTGGTAATGCCGTCTATCCAGGGCCCCATCACCGCAGGAGGACCACTCACCCGGGTGGGACAGCTGCCCAGGGCTGGGGCTGGAGCCCTGGGCCAAGTCCCCACCTGCAGGCCGCTGGCTGCCTCTCCTGACCAAGGAGTGCCAGGCCCTCACAGCCCCCGGTACTACACTGAGGGTGTGGCAGCTGCAGTCCCCTCCAGCCAGCACTCCTGGGACAGAGGGGACCCTGAGCCCAACGTGGCCCTCAATGCTCTGTGCCCCTGCACCCGGCAGTGGAAGACAGGCGTGAAGAGCCCTGCCCCCAGTGTTCCCCGACCTAGAGAAGGGAGAAGACCCAGGGTGGGTCCTCATGATGGCCACTCGGCAGCACGCGTCCTGGCAGCGTCAGGACCCCAGACTCCTGGGAAGGGCCAGAAGCAGGCCCTGGGGCGGGGTGCAGTTGACATCTCCCTCCACCGGGCTGAGCGGCCCAGGGCCCAGTGCCAGGCCTGGTGAGAGGGAAGGCAGGTTCTCGGAGGGCGGCAGAGCCCGTGCCTTCCCGGCTGCCCTTCTCTCAGCAGCCCCAGCTCCAGGATCGGCGAACTGCCCCCTCAACCAAGCCGGGAATCCCACCGTGCCACCTTGCGCCTTGGTCCCCTGAGAGTGAGGCAGGCCCTTAGTAAAGCTGTCAGGGCTTGGAGATGGTTCCGGGCCGTGGGGTCGCTGCTGCATGACACGTGATAAGAATTCGGAGCGAGCCCCACTCTGGAGTGCGACGTCCCGGCCCTGAGACCTGGAACCTGAGCCACTGACTTCAACCCGCGACTCCAGAACAGGCTGCACCCAGAGGGCCACACACCCAGCCCGGCCAACCCCTCGCAGGCCCCGGTGTCGGGTGCACCTCAAGCTGCACCGGCTGTCGCCTCCCTCTCTCCCCACAGCACGGTTGAGGCTGACACCCAGTCCTGCTGAGTGACCCCAGACCCCCCCTCCCTACCCGCCCTTTGGAGACCCGGGGAACAACAACTGCAAAGATCTCTGTTCAATAAACCCCGGGACTTGAACTTCATTCTGACCACCTCCTTGTTCTCGCCATGCAACACTGACCCAGAGCTTGGCAAAGGGCCCTGCTGCAGGCAGCCCTACTGCGAGCTCAGAAGGCCCGCAGCCCCAGCCCCAGGAGAGGCACCCCCATTCTTCCCTCCCCCTCCCCCCTCCCTGAGTCTGTCCTGCCTCTTCTGTGGGCAACTCAGTTAGAGACACTGAGATGCAGGAAAGCCCCCAGCAGGAACCACAGGGAGGAGTGGTCACAGGGCAGAGTTTGCCTGAGCACTTGGTGCCACCATGTGGGCCGGGTGTCACATCCCCAGAACCTGGCTGTGGGGGGGCTCCCTCCGAGGGGAACCCAGGGACTAGGGCAGTGGCCTGGCAAGAAGGTCAGACTGCAGGCCCCTTTGAAGGAGGCCCTGTGCTCCTCCCAGGCCTTCAGGAGCAGGGTAGGAGCCCACACGCCCAGGTGTCCACACATGGCCACCACAAAGCTGGAACAGGGACCTAAGCAGTCCCGTGTGGCATGTGCCCCAGAACATACCTCCCAAAGGTCAGGGTGCTCCTGAAATGAGGCTCCCCCCGAGCCAGGGGCCCCTGCTCTGTCTGGGGAGCATCAAGACTAGTGAGGGTGGGTGCATCCTTCCCACCCAGGGACAGCAGCTGCTGGCCACCTGCCAAGGTGCAGGCCCAGGCTCGGGGCGTTTGCCCACTCAGCCCAGGCTTGGTGGAGCAGCTCCCTGGCCAGCCCGACTGCAGCCCCCACAGGCTGACCTAGGGCTACCTAGGACAAGGATCTCCCGGGCCATCACTGGACGAGGGTGCAGAAGCTACCGTCAGGCAGGGGGGCTAGGGCCACCTCAGGAAGCAGTCTCCCACCCACAGAAATAGGAAAGAAAACCCCAGCCCCACCCCACCCAGCCCCTGGGCTCTGAGGAAGCAGGCATGGGGGACTCTGTGGGGGTGGGGGAGCCCCAAGAGTAGGCCGGAGCAGCACCCAGCCGGGCCCCTGGAGGGCCTAGGGGGCTGTGTGGATGTCCTGCTACGACGACCAGCTGGGACCGGTGACTCCCTCCCAAGGCCTTGAGGCTGGCTGTCCTGCTACCAGGGCTCTAGGGGGCCGCCTCCCTGCTGAGCTCCTGAGGGCTCAGGTCCCTGGGCTTGTGGCTGCTCCACCCCCATCTCTGCCCCCAGCTCCATCTCTCTTCCCTCTGCCTCCCCCGAGGAGGACGCAGGTCACTGGATTCAGGGCCCACATGGTGGATCCAGGACAATGTCATCTGAGGTCTCACGTGGTCCCATCTCTGCAGATCTTTCTTTCCCAATGGGATCACATTTGCAGGCCCCTGGGCTTAGGACATGGTCCTGTCTCTGGGGACAGCCCCTTCAAGGGACTCCTGGGACCCTCACAGGGCCCACATAGCTGGAGGCTCAGTCTGGAAGCCGAGGTCACACTGTCCCAGGAGCCTCAGCTGGGAGCACTTCACAAACTGGCACCCAGGGCCTCTCTGAGCTAGGCATGGGGTCAGGGGCCCCTGAGAAGGCTCAGAGATGACCCTGGGCGGATTGGGAGGAAGGGGAAATGGGAGGCAGTGCCCAGGTTATCCCCAGGGGGTGTTTGCATACAGTACCCCTTCCCAGCCCCAGCTCCCCAGCCTCCTGCCACCCAGCGTGACCCCCCATCCCCACTTGACTCCTGTCAGGTCCTGGGCTGGCTGCTGCCCATCCGCTAGAGCCCTTGTTTACCTCTGGGCCCAGCAGGATCACAGCTGCCAGGTAATGGTTGCTGGGACACAGTTGCCAGGTCACCACTGTTGTCTCCCAGCAGAGGGCTCCCGAGACTTGTTGGGCAGGTAAGAGAGACAGGAGGGCCACCAGCCCGGGTCCTGGCTGGGCTGAGGCTGGGCCTTGCCCTCTTGTGCTTCTCTCCAGCCCCTGCCCAGAAGCAGAGGAAGGAGGAAGGGACCAGACAGAGACTGGGGTGGACGAGTCTTTGGCCCAGGACCAGGTCTGTCTCCCAGAACTCATCCCCGGAAGGGCAGTCTCCTGAGACCCACGGGGACTGACTCCGTCCCCAGAGTGCCGCTGGCCGGGGTGCCAAGCCCCGAGCCACTTCAGCACTTCCTGAGCCCGGTGTGGCCGACTGTGAGCTGCTGGGTCTCCTCACCCTGGACTCTGACCTGCAGTCATCTTCCTCAGGGTTAGAAGCCTCTCCTCCCCATCAGACCAGGGTGCGGTGTCCTGCCTTTTTATCTGACCAGGTAAAAAGCTGACCTTAAATCTATCACAGAGCTGTGAGCCTCTGCCTGGTCCCTTGCCCTGGGTTTTCGCTCGGTCTTTGCCAAACGTCCTGCTGAGGACCACTTGCTTTCCCGTCTGCCCCTCTGGTGGGCCTCCTTTCTGGACTTGGGTTGCACCCTCCAGAGACCCCGAGCTGCAGTCCCCAGAGGAGGGCAGGCACTCCCTCGAGCTGTTCCCACTGCCAATGCCCCTGCCCAGTTCCTTTAAAAGTCTCCCGTCAATGTGAATGACAAGAGTGACAGCGATTCACCGGTTATCAACCACAGGAGGAAACCCTAGTGCCTGGTGTTAGAAAAGCTGGGGGGCATGTAAGGCTTCTGGAAAACAGACCCCACACGGGCGTGCTCAGCTCCTCTGCCCTTCCCTGGGCTGTGGAGAGGTGTCCAGGGGCAGGGAGCAGGGCTTCTGGGCCACTCTCTTGACCACCTCGTGCTGTTGCTCCCGAGTGACCGTGGCCCTCACTGTCACCCCCGATGCAGACTTCTGGCCACCGGGCCAGGCAGCTGGCCCTGGTGTCCTCTCTCTCAAGTCTCCTGAGTTGTCCCCACACCCTGGCTTCCCTGGAACTGTCCAGTGGGCACCCCAGCCCTACTGGTACCCGCTGGGCCACAGGCACCATCCCAACATGCTCCTGGGTGTCTATGAGTCCGGCCATCTCTCAGTCAAAGAGCAGGCACGGAGTGATTGGGCAGCCGTGGGTCCACTTCTCCTGGGCCCCTCACTCCTGGGATTCACTGGCCAGATGGGGAGTTCCTCCCAGCGGGCCGGAGGGCTCTGGTGGCCCTGCAGCTGCTCCCTGAAGGTCCAGCCATCTCCACTCCCCCGTCTTCTCTCTCGACATCCCTGTGGCTCCGAGGCCGGTCCTGGAGGTCTGTTAGGGGGTCTGTTCCTTCAGGCCCTGTCCTGGGTCCTCCCCTCTGGGTTCTGACCATGGCCCTGAAGGCTTCGCTCTCACAGGGTCCGTCCTGTGCTGGAAGCACACGACTCCTTCTGGCGGGGGCAGTCTCTCCCCAACCCCAGGCCTGCTCCAGGGGCCAACTGGCTGCCGAGGGCTGCACACCTTCCCCTTTCCTCTGCCCACACCTGGGAAGCCACCCTCAGCCTCCTGGGGTCCCATGCCCACAGCAGGGTTCTGGGAACCACATGGGAAGGGTGGGGGTCTCCTGGCCCCATTCTCTGCAGGCTGGCAGCCCCAGCCTCGCCCCAGGAGCCTTCCTGTTCTGTGTGGGGTCTCAGGGTGCTCCAGCTTTGGCCCCCCACCCGGGGCCGACCAGCCTGGCTCCCTGGCTTCCCTCCGACTGTGGTTTTACTTCTCTCCTCCTCACGGTCACTTTGTGTGGACAGACACAAGGCTGCTCAGCTGAGCGTCTCGCCGACCTGCCGGGAGCCTAGACTCCTGCCCCAGTCGAGGTCCTGTGCTGTCCCTCTGTCCTGCCACCTGCTGTAGCCTAGGGCTGGCCTTCTGTGAAGCTTCAGAAAGCCCTCGCCTCCCACCTGGGTCTGCTTTGTCTTCTCAAGGGTGAGGCCGAAGAAGTGCCAAGGAAATGACGTCCCTGACAGGTTCCCAAATGGGCCACAGGTGCAAACGGGGCAGCATCCAGGGCTCTGGGGCAGGCAGGGCAGTGGCCTGCAGGCAGAGGGGCCATGAAGGGCAGCAGTATGCGCTGGGAGGCCCCCTCTGGACCTCTGTTCCTCCAGATGGACACCCCCCCGGCAGGCCTGACGGCCACTGTCTTTACAGCCAGCGTCGGGGCTGTGTGCAGAGGGGCCAGGACAGTCCCTGCAGCAGAGGACTCGCCCAGCAGAGACAGAGATGGCCTCCCCGGCTCTGGCCACCAGGCCCCTCAGCCACCATGGAGATGGGAGCCAGCCACCAGCAGACGCCACAGTGCGGGACTCAGGGAGGCGCCCTTCCCCGGGCAGGGGGGGCCCGGCCGCCTGCCCCATCCCAGGGCTGAGGCCTCGGGCTGCCCAAAGACCCCGACGGGGGGCGGGGGCCGCCTCTTCCCCACGGGGCACTCACCCCCGTGTCCCCATGCCCGCGCCCCACAGCCGCACCCGCTTCATCCACCGCCGCCGGGGGCAGCCTGCCCGGACCCACATCTGCTCCAAGAGACCCAAGCGGCCCAGGATCCGGCGGTGCCGGCCCCGGGCGCCGAGTGAGTGTGGAGCCCTGCCTGGGGCTGGCTCACCCCCCACGCGGCTCCTTCCTGGGACAGCACCCCACCCTCAGGGGGCAGATCTCGGGGAGGGGACAAAATGCGGGGATCGGGGCTCAGGGGCAGAGAGGGAGCACTGCTCTCCACCGCCTGAGCGCTCCGCCTGCCCTCGTGCCACCCCTGCAGGCAGACACAGTGGGCACTGCCCCCTCACCCTGCCCCGGCAGCTCCCATCTCCCCCAACTGACCATGGCTTCTTGGGTCACCCATGATGTCATCATGGGCATTGTGACCCCTGCCCTCTGGGTACCTCCCGGCACCATGTCTGCTCCAGGCTGCAGCCTCAAACCCCAGCCCCTTCCCCGCACAGAGCTCCCGCCCGGTTGGTAAGGAGGGTGGGCATCAGGCTCCCCGCTGGCCCTGCCCCACCCCAAGCCTGGCCCTAGAGGGCGGTGACTCTTCCCTCTGGCGCATACTGGCCCCCAGGCTCCTTGTCAGGTCTCGGCTGGGCTGAGGTGGGGCCCGGGGAGGCTGGAGTGAACACCCAGGAGCCCCTGAAATGGGCTGGGATTGGAAAGGCAGAGTGGGGACCCCCTCCACAGCACTGACCCACCCTCCCCAGGCTGGGCCCATGAGAGACAGATGGGGAGCAGTGGCAAGGAGGGCCTCCTGCCTCAGCTGAGCCAGCAGGACCAAGATGCAGGTGGGCCACAGATGACCCTGGGGGGCGGGACAGCCCTGGGCTCCAGGGACCCAGGGCCTCTGACCAGCTGCTTGCCCGCAGACCTCCTGGACCACACAGATGCTACCAGGCCCCCAGGGGCCTCCCCAGAGGGGCCCCCACTGGAGGGGGACAAGCAGTCACCCAGCACCGGGCAGGGCCCCTTCTTCTACATCGGAGGCACCAACGGGGCGTCCATGTGAGTGGGGCCGGTGGCCCTGTCTGCCCCACACCCTTACCTCTGGTCTGCCCCACATGGCTGCCGGCAGTCCCCGCGCCGTCCTCCAGGGACCCTTGGCCCTGGGGGTCACTGCTGCCTCCTCCCACAGAATCAGTGCCTACTGCAGGAGCAAAGGCTGGCAGCGCACGCAGGACAGCCGGCGCGAGGACTGCAAGCTCAAGTGGTGTGAGATCAAGTGCCGGGACAGCTACTGCAGCTTCCGGGAAGGTGGGGGGCACCCCAGCGGGGGGCCGGGCCTCTGGGTCCTGCGGCGCTGCCCACATGCCACCCCTCCTTGTCCTGCCAGGCCAGCAGCTGCTCTTCCAGCTCCCCAACAACAAGCTGCTCACGACCAAGATCGGGCTGCTCACGGCCCTGCGGGAGCACGCACGCGCACTGAGCAAGGCCAACAAGGTGCCCCCGGGCGGCCAGGCCAAGTGAGCCCCCCGCCTGCTGGGTGTCACCCCGCCCTCAGTGTACACCTTCTCTGTCATCCACCTGTCCCTGAAAGACCCGGTCCCCCAGACGAGGCGCCCACGGCTCTCCCCACCCGCGACCCCTCAGGGCTAACCCCCCTCTGAGACGCCCCCGATCCTCAAGACCTGGGCCTCCTCCCACCATCCACCACTGCCTCCACCCCGCCCTGCCACCCCCAGGAATCTCTGTCCTCCCACACAGCTAGGCGGGTCCCTCGGGCATGACCGCTCACCACCCACCCTGCCACTCATCCTCCCTGCCCATTCCCGCTCCGGCATGTTCCTCCGTCTCCTGCCTTCAACCCCACCGCACAGCCAAGCCCTCCACCCAGGAGCCCGGGCCTCCATCCACTTCCCAGTTCATCTAACACGCCCACCGTCTGCCCCTCCTCGCCTGCCCGTCAAGCAGACAGCCAGAGGCGTCCATCCACCATCTGCTCATCCACGACTCATCTTAACATTTGTCCAGGGTCCATTTCCCTGTGCTCACAGTGTCCATCCGTCCAGCAGACCTCCTGCCTGGCCCCGTCTACCTCCATAACCAGCCGTCCTCCATCTCTCCAGGCCCCCATCCATTCTCCACTGTGGAGGTGGTCACTCAGGCCAGGGCCTGTGTCCCTCTCTGCAGATGTGGAAAGGACACAACAGTGACCCTCGAGGAGCCCACGTGGATCAGTTCGGGGTGCCTCGGGCCACAAAGGTAAGTGCACCCAGTTCTGATCCTGGGCTCACAGCAGGGTGCCACCAGAAGGGACTTGGGCAGGTGGCAGGGCGGGGTGAGCAGGGCCTCCAGCCTCTGCTGCAGAGAGGCCAGTGGTGTGGTGGCCGGAGGCATGCCCCTGGCCAGGCAGAGTGCAAAGGCCCTGCGAGGACGCACTGGGTCATCTGGGGCCTAGGTCAGGCCCCCAGAGTACTGCCAAGCCCCAGGGCAGGGGACAGCCCTGCCACGCTCTCTCCACCTCCCTGCTCTCCCAGGGCTCTGAAAATGGAAGATTTTTTCCCAGAGACCTACCGTCTGGACGTCAAGGATGAGAGACAGACCTTCGTCACCCTGTTTGATGGTGAGAGGCTGCAGACAGCCAGATTCAGGGGGACAGCAGCCTGTCGGGGGCAGTGCACGTCCTGGGGGCATGGAGGAGTCTGGGGGGGAGGGCTGGGAGCGGGAGGGTCAAGGCGCTGGAGGGGTGTCGGGGCAGGGCCATGGATGGGGGCCCTGGTGGGCGGGGCCGGGTGGAGGCAGGGGCCACAGAGCAGGGTGGGGTCCCTGTGTGGTCAGGCTGAAGGTGAGAAGTGGGGAGCGCCATGGCCAGGTCCCGGGAGGTGGCTAGAGCTCCAGTGTGGTCAGGGCCACGGCAGGCCCAGGATGGGGGTGGGGTGGGGCCGGAGGCTCAGGGGGTGCTCCCTGCAGAAACCCAGATATGGATCTGCAAGCCCACGGCCTCCAACCAGGGCAAGGGCATCTTTCTGATCAGGAGCCAGGAGGAGGTCAACGCCCTGCAGGCCAAGGCCCAGAGCATGGAGGACGACTCCATCTACCGCAAGATGCCCTTTCGGGCACCTCAGGCGCGGGTGGTGCAGAGGTGTGGGCGTGGGCTCCAGGAGGGGCCTGGGTGGGCTGATTCAGATGAGAGGGTACCTGTGAGGGCTGTGGTGGTCAGCAGGCCTGCAGAGCCGTCCCCAGATACAGGCTCCAGGACCGGGTAGGCGGGGAGGACTTGGCCAGTTGCCCCTGTCGCCTCAGCTCCTCTACTCCCCGGCCAGCTGTGGCTTCTCTGCCTCCAGGAGGTCCAGCCCCTCAGCACCCCAGGGGCAGGGTTGGGGGCTGGTTCCAAGAAGGTCCCCTGGACCTCAGCTCTGGCCACAACTGCTGTCTGTCGTCCCTGCTGTCCAGTCAGCCCTCCTGGGCACTGCTCCCTGCCTCTGGTCTTGAAGACCTGAGCTCCCCTGCTTGGAATGTCCGCCCCCTTCTGCCCCCAGCCACTCACTCTTCATGGCTCTCAGTAGCCTCCTTCCCCCGCAGGCAGCCCTCCCTGCAGGGGCCCAGTCCATCCTGACTCCAGGCTCCTAAAGGAGGCTGTGGCCAAGGTCTGCAGGCCAGGCCCTTCCTTCTTGCCCACTCCCCGACCGGCTCAGGCTCAGGAATGTCCCCTGCCCCTGGACATGTGCCCAGCCAGAGGCCACTCCTGTGACAGGGGAGTGTCGGGAGAAGGCAGGGGGAGTGGGGACGCCGGCCAGCTGGCAGGGCAACTCAGCCCCAGTGGCCACATGGGGTGCCCAGGTACATCCAGAACCCGCTGCTGCTGGACGGGAAGAAGTTTGACGTGCGCTCCTACCTGCTCATCGCCTGTGCCGTGCCCTACATGGTGTTCTTTGGCCACGGCTACGCCCGCCTCACCCTCAGCCTCTACGACCCCCATTCCAGCGACCTCAGCGGCCACTTGACCAACCAGGTAAGGAGCCCTGGCAGGAGAAGGTCTTCCCTGAGGCGGGGGGTGGGACGAGAAGAAGGCAGGCCCTCAGCCCCCAGCTTGGCTCCAGCTGGTGGGCCAGAGAAGGGCCTCAGCGGAGGACTGCAGGGCAGGAGGACCTGCTGGCCGGAGGAGTCTGGGTGGTGGACCAAGGTGTTTGCCGGAGGGTCTCCAGAGGCAGGCGCCCAAGGGCCTGGGGCAGCAGGGTCAGGGCTCCTCAGTGGAGGTGGCCTCCAGGCCCTTATCTTTTCCCCAGTTCATGCAGAAGAAAAGCCCCTTGTACGTGCTACTGAAGGAGGACACGGTGTGGAGCATGGACCACCTCAACAGCTACATCAACGACAAGTTCCGCAAGACCAAGGGGCTCCCCCGAGACTGGGTCTTCACCACCTTCACGGTCCGTCCGCAGCTGTACCCTCTCCTGCTGTGGGAGGGAGGG